AATTGATCAAGGTTGGATTTTCGAGTTTTCCGGGGATGAAGCTGATGCTCAGAAGCAATATCCCCAAGGAGTTGGCCTAGGTAAATTGGGCATAGCATTCTCCGATTCTCGCCCTCCGAGACTGGTGTTGGATAGTAGTGTTTGTTATACTAATCAAAACTGTTGGATCCCCGAGCGCCAGTGCTATCCCTCTGCCCGGGATGTTGTTGAATCGTTCCCGCTTCGCAACTGTTCGGAGCCCCAGCATGCAGCTACGTTTGATGTGAAGTCAGCACATAAACGTATAGTTCTTGCAGAACGCCATCAAGGCCTTGTAGGGTTCACGTTTCGTGGCAAAATCTTTTTCTATCGGGTTTGCCCCTTCGGAGCCACATTTAGTGCCTTTTGGTGGGGCCGTTTAGGAGCTTGGCTAGTGCGCGCCTTTCATCGCCTCATTTGGATCCAACATGGCCTTTGGCTGTTTGTGGACGATTTCTTGTTGACTCAAACCAAGCAAGTTTTACCACTCTTCGCCACACTCCTGGCAATCTTTTGTCAGGTATTTCGCATCCCCCTCAGTTGGCGTAAGTGTACGTTAGGTCCAATGGTCGATTGGATTGGCTGGCGCTTCAATTTCTTCAATGGATTGGTCAGTTTGCACCCAGACAAGCAAGATAAGCTGATTTCACTGATCAACGATTTGCTTGCCCATCGTCACTGCACCTGCAAACAACTTGAGAAATTCACAGGCTTGGCGCTTTGGGTTACCCATCTCTTTTTGCCATTCCGCGCGCTGCTCCATTGGTTGTTTTCTGATTTGTATTGTTGCCCCGCTACACACTACAGTGTCAACCCCGGCTTTTGGACCGTGGTCAAACCTGGCCTTTCAGATGAACTGACCTTTCTTTGTACGCCCACCGGCGCAGCAATCCCGGCTGGGTCAAAGCTAGTTTCTGTTAGACATAGTCCTGTCCAACCATTGCACGATGTGGAATCAGTTCGGTTGACAGACCGTAGATTGTGGCTTTGAATTCTCAACCCGAAGTCCCAGCAACGCAAACTTTCCGTGCACAGCCGAAGAGTCCTCAAGCTTTGGTTGCGGTGGCTTACCACCTCCCCTCCTCTTCGCACCATGCGCCCGCCTGCTCAGGTTTCTGTTAGAGCATCAGCAGATGCCTCGGCCCAAGGGGAAGCATTTCAGATTGGTGGTTTGCTCGCAACCGATTCGACCATATACTGGTTTGCAGAGAAGTGGAATGTCTCAGAGATTAAACAATTGGACATTCCGGTTCGGCCAGATGCCCAAAAAGACATTGCATGTTATGAAACTTTAGCTCAGGGTTTTCTTGTCTTGCTTTGTTTGGCTTTTTGCCCCAGAATCTGTGTCCCTTTGCATTTTCAAAGCTTGAGTGATAACGTTGCTGCCGAAGCAGCCGGCAACAAATTATTTACGACCACCGCTCCCTTGTGCTTTTTTGTTGAGCAATTAGCCTCCATCCTCATGTCCGAACGAATCAGTTGTGACATCTCCCATATTCCAGGTCCTTTGAACACTGATGCCGATCTGCTAAGTAGATGGGACTTTGTTTCAAACCTCCCCGAGAAATTTGACGCTGCGCATAGGCATCATATGAGCCTCGATGCCTTCTTTCGGTCTCACCGCAAGATAGCGGTTCACCCAGCCGACTTCCAGCTCCAGTGGCAATAGGCCCTCGATGAATCACTTTTCACTGCCAACTTCCACTCAGCGCTTTTTGGGTTCATTATAATATCCGAGTGTTGTTGGAAAGCATTTCGGTGGATTATCCCAACAACGCTCGCTACTTTCAGGCAGTGAAAAGTGTGCTGAGTGGGAAAGAGGGAAAGGAGCTTTTATTGTTGAATGAACATTGTAAGTAGCCTTAGAACCGTCAGGTTCCGATTCGTGCTGATCATTCGAAGTTTGCCTATTTTTCCATTTACAATCACGAGCGTGACAAGCCTGAGATCTACAGAATGAAGACCTTGGAAGAGCGCTTCACAGTATCGCTGCCAGAGGTTTGTACTTGCTAAACACAAATTTCTATGATGATTTTCATCCTTGTGTCCAAAGAGCGCAACACACAAAATCTGCAGAACACGGAATGGAGATGGTGTTTCTTTTGACTGGATGGGAATTTGCAAGGGACGGCAAGAAATCCACAGTTTTTGATACCACTTGCAAAGCGCTGGGGGTAGAATTCAACCTGAAGAGCTGGTGAGCAAAGCCTGTCAATAGGAAACACTGTCTAACGCAGGGACGAGTTGGTGGCTCAGCTTGACCAAATCATTTCAGCAAACAAGTTGTCCAGACATGATGCGTTAGTGCTCCGCGGCAGACTGGGATTTGTTGACAGCTTTGTACACGGAAGACTTGGTCGCTTGGTGCTCAGTCGACTGGTAGAGCATGCTTATGGGGCCCAGATTGAGCTATCGCCGCCATTGGCTTCTGCTTTGAAATTCATGCGTGTGCGACTGTTCGATGCAAAACCTCGAGTTGTGGGGACTGCGCGACAAAACCAATTTTTCCTTTACACAGATGCCTCCTATGAGCCTGAATCCCACACTGGTGGGCTGGGAGCCGTCCTGATCGACGAACGAGGATCTTGCATTGCTTGGTTCGGAATTTTCTTAGATTCAGTCATGTGTTCACACTTTGGAGCTGAAAACAAGGACGCCATCATTTACGAGCTTGAACTTCTTGCAGTGGTCTTTTCTCTTGCTTTTTGGAACAAGTCAGTCTCCGAGCAGTTGGTGATCTGTTTTGGCAACAATGACGCTGTAAGATTTGCCTTGATTAAGGGTTCAGCACAAAGGGACGTGGCAAATGTTTTGATGTATATGCAGTTGGCCCTGGAAACCGCAAAGCCTGTGAACTTGTGGTTTGCAAGAGTTCCAACCCATGCCAACATAAGTGACTTCCCGTCACGGTTCCAATCGCACCCTTTCTTGAAGGACGAGAGTTGTGTATCGAGCAGAGCTTGCAATGAATTCTTTCCCTATGTTTCGAAGTTTCAGCGGTGCCTGGAGTCGAAGGGTGATTGGGGCAGGTGAGCTTCGACCCCAGTCATCCTTCGCGGAAAAAGAAGACAGC